TCATATATTCACTTATAATCATTTTCCACCATATCTTATTTTTTCCACTTCTACCATATTACTTACATATTTCTTTGTCGTTTCATTTTCAGTGTTTTCATCTAGCTAATATCACAGTATATCCTAAAAGTCTTCTCTCTTATCACTACTATAACAATTAAAATTCCATTCTAATTTTAAAAACTACCAAAATACTAATTATTATATTGTCTACTTTCCCCTTCCCATTTATTAATCTACCTCATTTATATTTGCCTATTTTTACCCCATCATTCTTCATCTTTAACCATCATCTCTAAATCTTTTTAGCATCCTCTTTTCTAATAATTTTTTGCATGACCCGTTATCTCTCTCTAACTTCTCAATTCTCTTTTTTATTTTTTTATATATGTTATATTTCATCTTCTGGCTTCCATTTTTCTTTTCTTTTTTTGTTGTGTTGTCTGAACCTCCCTCCCCAAAGCTTTCCCTTGTCTCTTCCAGATTTCCCCCTTCTTTCCTTTTGCCTGTTTCTTTTTTAGGAGGAGTTTACCCCCTTTCCTCTCTACTCTTTTTATATTCCCAACCATTTCTATGGTGCTCTCTGTCTGATTTCTATTTTTTAATGTTCTCTTCACCATTATTAATTTCTTGTTTCTCATTCAAATTTCCCTTTTCTAGCTTCTCTTCATTTTCTTTTTCTATATATTTAAATGAATTTTCCATTTCTTTTTTGCCTGTTAAAGATTCATGCACGCTTTTGAGCATCGAAAGTAACTCTCCATACATCTGCAACTCCATTTGTGACAATTTAAAAGGTTACTAATACCTACCCCCCAAATTATGTCTCTATACACTTAGTCAAAATTTTAAGTCTGTATAATTTTCTTATTTCTCCACTTCTTTTCTGCTTCAATTATTCCTTCATTTTTTAAAGTTAGAATGTTCTTCTCAATTATTAATTATAATCCCAATTCAGCAACAGTCAAATCCAAATATAAAACTATCTTCCAGAAGAGAAGGAAAGTAAAACAACCACCCAGATGTAAAACACAGTCACTCCTTAATTTTTCACACGGTATCCAATTCTTCTTCTATACGCCCAAGGTCAAAATTTCCTGCTACTATTTCTTCTGATTTGTCTATTTGAGTAGAATATTGCAAAGCTTTTTCTTTTCTCCAGCAGATGGCACTCTCTGTTTCTACTCTGTTATAAAGCAGGCTCTTTTATCCATTTGTTTGTCAAAATGTCCAATAATTTTTTCAAAGTTCTCTTATGAATTATTATTTTCTTCTGAAAATCATTTTCTTTCCTTTTAACATTTTTGCTTTTCCAAATCCAAAACTTTCTCTTAGATTCTTTAAATCACAATCCATGCCTTCTCTTTGTTCCGCATATGTGTGTTTTTTTCCCCAAAAGCCTGATAGCCGCTAGTCCAAACTCAGGAATGCTTTTGAAACTTCAATTTCCACTTTTTTTTTAGCATAAATAGGCATTTATCTCACCCAGTTCTGGCACTCCATCCAATCGCAACTCCTGCACAATTCTTCGGTCTGGTTGTCCCAGCTTCAAGATGATCACCATAAGATGGCCACTGCTCCCACTGCCGCTTCGGGAGAGCTGTTTCTGTTCCAGCGAGGAAAATGCCAATTCCTCGCGGTTCCACGAAACGCCTCTCCTTTCTTTACCATTCCTGCAAGACAGCTATCGCTCAAAAGCCTCCCGACAGCGGTTCGTCCGGCTGGATTTCGCACAGCTCATCAGAGCCTGCTATTTTCCAGTCTGTTCCCGCTGCGACATCAACCGGAAGTCCCAGGCAAAATTCTCTTAACAAATGTCTCATTTATCAACAGAAATTTTGAGCTCAATTATGGTTGTAAGACAAGGACTAGATCAGATACTGTTTAAATGATTTGTTTTTTTATACAAAAGGCATTTAACTGTATCTTGACCCCTACTGTGTTATTCTCAATTGTTAGTAGTTAATTTCTTTTCCTAGAACATAGTGGTTAAACTGGGACCAGGGAGACCATAATATTAATCCCTGTTCAACTGTGAATGGGCAACCTTTGACCAGTTACTAGCTTAGTTTATTTCACAGGACTGCTGAGAACAATACACTGGGGAGATGGGGAAAGCTGCTGTACACTATGTATCTTTCTTGGAGAAGGAGGAATAACATACAGGTAGTCCTTGAATTATGACCGTAATGGAGCCTACTCATCTGATCATGAAATCGCAATAGTCATAAATCAACTCACCCACAACCTTTTTCAAAGTGGTTATTAAGCAAATACTGTGTTTTGCCAAAATCTGGAAGTAAATGCTGGTTTTCAGCAAAACCATAATGCAGGACACTGCAAATAGCCATAAATGCAGACCAGTTGCCAAGTGCCCGAAGTCCAGTCATATGACTGATATGTGTGTAGGGAAACCCAGCCATCAGAATTTGTAATCCAGGTTGTAAAGTAATTCCAGGAAAGTCCGTTGTAATTTCAAATGGTCATTAAGTGACTGATCATAAGTCAAGGACTACTGTAAAATAATTTATGAATGACATCTTTAGAACCAGCAAAAATCCAGTGGAAGTTTCCCCATACTCATCATGTAAGCAAAGTTTCAGCCATTAGAAACACATTTTTTTCCTTTGTTTTGAACCAGAAGAGAATAATATTTAGTATTCTGCTCTAGTCTGTAGCCGGAGAATTAAAATGCTCTTGATTAAACCCATTGAGCTTTAACTCTGGTCTTCCAAGAGAAGAGATGGCTTAATTGCCAAGATGGTTTGTAGTTATGGGTTAAATAACATGCAGGTCATACATTGTGGGATATGCCCTAGAGACTGAATAGACAGGACCATACTGTTATTGATTGAGCCATCTTAATTATGTGTTAATGGCAGCAAACAACAATGTTCTTTTAAAGATGAAATAATTTACCATGCTTTTAGTAACTGATTTCTTAAATTTTTTCTCTCTTTTGTTTCATATAGAACAGAAGGTGGTGAACATACCTAATACTCCTTCCTCTTCCTATTTTCCCCACAACTCCTGTGAGGCAGATTGGGCTGAGAGAGTGACTGACCCAAAGTCACCCAGTTGGCTTTTATGCCTAAAGCAGCACTAGAACTTACTGTCTCCTGGTTTCTAGGCCAGCACATTAATCACTAGACCAGACTGGCTCTCAGTACTCTGCAGGAAATCAAATGGCAAAGGAAATTGTGACATAATTGAATTGGACAGAGATGCAGATAATCAAAAAGAACTTCAAGAGGCTTTTCCATTGTAATGAAGAATAGCTAGAGCTAGAGAGGTTTCTGTGCAGAATTTTATATAGAACTGACCGATGTCATGCTTGCGTTATAATCTGCTTACTTCCAGTAGGATTTGTTTATTGTATTCAGGGTGCATCAAAAGTCAAGCCCCACAGGCCAAAGACCAGTTTCTCAACCTAAGCAACTTTCAGATGTGTGGACTTCAACTCCCAGAATTCCCCAGCCACACATCTTAAACTTGCTGAGGTTGAAAAACATTGCAACAGAGGATCTGAAGGAGAACATCACATCAAAATTTGCAAGCATCAGAGAAGATGTTACTGTTCTTAAGACTGTTCAAGGATAATGCATCAAACAAGAAAAGTTGTTAAGAGGAAAATGGCAACCATTCGAACATGCAATGTAATTTATAAAATAGTCTATGGGGTCTGACTTTTGATACACCCTGTATATTAAAAAATGGACAGATAGTCCTCAACGTATGATCAGTTGCTTAGTGACTGTTCAAAGTTATAACAGACCCCCTACCAAGGTACTTTTGACCTAGATTTGAAGTTCTGATGGCTGTCCCCTTGGTCACATGACCACATTTTGGCCGCTTGGCAATCAGTCCACATGTAATAATAATAACTTTATTGTCATTGTACGTGTATACACAGTATACCCATACAACAAAATTCACTTAACACCCAAAGACCAGGTCCAACACACATAACAATCCCCAAACACCCACCCACCCACCACAAATTCCCCGCCCCTAAACCACCCAAACACCCACACAACAGACCAAGTAATGCTGTCCAACAGCTCACTGATTTAGGGCCATTTGTAGCATCCTGTGCTCACTGTGATTTACAATTGTTTTTGTTGAAAACTGGTGTTTACATTCAGTTTCTGGCAAAAAACACCCTTTGCAGACAATGGGTTTGTTTAATGACCACAGTATTTGCTTTACAACTATGGCATTCACTTAACAACCACAATTTCACTTTAGGATGATTTGCTTAACAAACACCGCAAAAAAGATAATATATCTAGCATGGTCACATTATAACTCACTTAACAACTGGCATGATCATGATCATAATTCTGGATTCAGTTATGGTCGTAAATTGAGGAGTACAAATCTAATGTACTGTAATTATGAGTTCTCTCTTCTAAGGGAAGCCAAGTCTTAGTATGCTACCCTGTGTTTTTCACAGATGAATGAGGCACGTTTAACCATAAATATGCTGTGCCAATGTCATAAAAATCCAGATCAGCATAGCTTAAATTCTCTACTGAGGAGAGTTAGATGCTACATAATTAAAACATGTACTGAAGTCGCGTGTTGCTTATTTTACAGGCTTTAACAAAGCTTACACAGTTTTTCTGTTTGCTCTTTTGTTTTGCTTATTGTTGACAGTGGAAAGGACTGAGTGGGAGGGGGGGTTGGGAAAAGGGAACGAAGACTGCAGGAGAAAAAGAAAAATGGAACTATTTGTCAAATAAAGAAATTATTATTTGATACGCACACTCCAAAAACACCACACGAGTCAACGTCTGAGCGGGATTAAAAAAGCCTTTATTTCTTATGAATACCCTAAAATAGTATCGAAAACCCCAGGCCCACCCCCAATCTGGATTCTTGGGACCCTGCCCCACCCAAGCCCTGCCCCTTCTAATGTGGGGCACTGCCCCATGACCCCTCCCCAGCGAAACCCCTCCCGCTCAAAGAAATACCGCCCCCACCCCCTTAACCCGCTCCCTAAAACAGCATTTCTAAAGTTATTACTAAATTGCCCCCCCCTAGGAAAAGGGACCGAGAGAGACACGAGGAAAGAAAGAGAAGGAAAGAGAGAGAGAGAAAAGAATAAAAGCACAATTGGGAGAGTGAGGCAGAAATTATGGACTTCTGGATGGGTGTCTATTACGTGAGGGGCATTGTTTGTGTGTGTGGCTCTGGATTTCCACGTATGGTTATATCTCTGTCTTAATTAAGGATTGAGATGTACATCATGGAAGTGCACATTCTGCCGCGTGTTTTCAAATAGGCTACGGTGTCTTTCAGTTCCTACTGCAGTGTCACTGGAGCCTCTGCGTTCATGGGACACCAAAACAAATTGCTGGTATCCGAGCTGGTCCTCTCTGGGGTGCTATGACCATCCATCCTTGGCTGCTATGGACTAAGGGGCTACTTCACACAAGACACCGAGTCCAGACCCAGGGATGCACAGCGAAAGGAAATCTTTTGCTACATTTCACAAGTGACAGCGAGGACACACTTACCTCATGAGAGGGAAAACATCAAGAGAGCCACAGTCCTACTACAATCGCTCTCCGAGAATGCACTGTCAGCGTAAAGCGTATGCATGGGTGGGGACAGTGACCCTGCCTTCCTGCATTGGGGATGGAGGCGCTGTGCTTGTGACATTGACTGCGGTTCCTTTTTTAATTTTTTTTTTTTTTTGCTGTGCAGGCTCCTTTCAGCCGCACGCTAAGTCCGTTTGGTGCAACGTGGGTTTCGGTTGCTGGACTACTCTGTCTGCTGGCATGATCGGCGTGTGCTTGTATGCCTTTGTGCTTGACTGTGGCTGTGTAACTGGGTGTGTGTGTGTGTGTGTGTGTGTGTATAATATATATATATATTTTTTCTTGCAATTCACTGTTTGGCAGTGTGTGCACCAGTTTGGGAGTGACAGTGTATTATTGTGGCACCTGGCACTGGGCCACTCTCGCTGCTACTGTATTGGAGAACTTGGAGGGTTGGGTGGGACTTTGCAGACCCACAGATCCAACCCCAGCCCTGAGACAGGATGTCCTGTTCCTAAAGCCAGCGCCCCACCAGCTTAGCATGTTCTATGGCTGAGTAGTTTGGGGGGTGCCAGGACCAGCTGGTTTTCCCAGAAACAGTCTTACTCCCCTTACGGTCCCCTTAGGACTATAAATTTTCAAGAACACAAAGCACCTCAAGGAAAAATGGTGGGAGGACAAGGAACAACTGACACTACAGTGTTTTTCATTAACGGTGACAAAATGTCATGAGATCAATGCTTCCTATGAATCCCCGTGATGTTCATGAGAAGAACACATCCAGATCTCATGTCTTGGGCCTCCTTTCGCCTTCCAGTTCATTAAAACATCTTCTTTGGTGTCTCCTTCATAGGTTCTTTTCCAATACTTTAAAACAGGTGTGAGAACTGCCACCAGGCCTCTCTTTCTCCAACAACTACATTTTATTTTTCTTGGGGCTAAGCAGCCTCAGTTCCTTCAGCATCTCAATGTATAACTCGCCTCTTCCAGACCTTTGATCATCCTTGCTGCTGCCTTCTGCATCTTTCTCAATTTGTCAAGCTCCTGCTCTGACTAAGGAGCTCAAATGAAGTGCAACACTTCAAACAAGGCCCTGCGAACAGGCATCACTTGGCTCTGGAACGGTGCAAGGAGAGAATCTGATTACTAAGTCTGACTGATGGCCTATCTAGCCCAGGGAGTCCTGTCTGAGAGGCAGAAACTGTGTGGAAATTTGGTTCCCCTTCTGCACTGAGACGAGTTTAAATTGGCAATCTGTTGAAGGTTCACAGATGGAAGAATCCAGTATTCGCTTGGCGGTCTTGTTCTGTTTCTAGTCTTCTAACCAGAAAGAGCAGGAACTCCGGCGAGTCTTGTCTTCCTTCTCCTCCAGAATCCTACTAAGCTTGGCAGACTTTGGCAAGCAGACCTCAAACCAGCATTAAGCATCAAATGAGGCCTGCCCCCTACTCCAAATGACTACATTTGCAATCAAAGCATTACTTTGGGAAATGAGAATTTTAAAGCCACCTCCCTCCCCGCAATGCTCCATTAAGAGCAATTTAGAAAATATAAAACAGTAGATTAATTGGAGCTGCTCCTCATCAAGCCCCAGAATCTGAAGTCTACCAACTTAAGGAGGATCCATTTCGTGAATTCCCACCTCCAAATCTGGAGAAACCCCTATCTTCAGACATAGCTTACTCCTTTGAACTGCCTTCTTCCAATTACATGGACCAGAAATATTAAGAAAATTCAGGATATCTAAATATGGGCCTGACACCGAATACAGTACTGAGCCTGCCTAGAATTGTACACAGATATGCTCAAACACAGTGAAGGAGGAGCTGGGAAGATCCAATGCCTGTGGCTGGGGGGACGGGGGACGGGGGACGATAACTTCTGAAATAAAGATAAAACTGACTCCCCCCACCTCCACCCAAGTTTTTTCTTGGCAGAATCTCTGATTACCCTATTTATGGAAATGGAAACTGAGAGCTTGGAATAAACCTCAAAAATGGATGTGCTCATTTCATGAGCTAGGTGTTAACAGAAGGGCCATACCAAATGACCAAAAATAGGGCTGGTAAGGAAGGTAATATTAGCACAACATGAATGCAAAGAAAGATGATGTTGAATATTTCTTCTGCTTATGTCTGTGGATTTCTTGCCCATCCAATCCCCAAAAGCAAAAATGTTTCCTCCTAACAGATTTTCATCAGTTTATCAGGAGAAAATGGATCGCTAATAAATTACTTTTTAATAAATTACTGGCCTGGCTAGGTGGCTCAGTGGCTAAGACGCTGAGCTTGTCAATCAGAAAGGTGGGCAGTTCGGCTGTTTGAATCCCTAGTATTCTCCTGTGTGAACAGGGGGTTGGACTAGATGACCTGTTACTTTGGTGACAACAATGCTGGGCTAGAAAGGAGCTCTCCCCACCCAAAAGTTCTCCTCTGCCATCCCTCCTATTCTATAGACCCTGCTTCAGAGGTGAAATGCTACTGGTTCGGGCCGGTTCTCCCGAACCGGTAGTAACAAATGCTACTGGTTCGCCGAACTGGTAGTAAAAAAATGTAAAAACAAAGTTCCAACGATCAGCTGAGCGACATGCGATCGTTGGAACATTTTTTTTTTTTTTTCTTTTTTAGCATTTTTTTTATTACTGGTTCCCAGGAACTGGTAGTTAAAATGCTTTAAAAAAAGCAAAAAAAAAAAAAAGCTTGGACGATTGGGCGGCACAGCTGTGATTGTCCAAACCTTTTTTTTTTTACTTTTTTAAAGCATTTTTTTAACTACCTATTCGCCTGAACCAGTAGTAAAAAAATGCTTAAAAAGGAAAAAAAAAAAGTTCCCAAGATAGCACGCCACAGCTGATTTTCCCCCCCCGCTGTTCTACTTACCTTCCCAAGTCTCCTTTTGCCGCGTACTGCGCATGCGTGTGCAGCGTGCATTTTGTGCGAACTGCGCATGCGCGGCCAGCAAACCGGTAGCAAACCGGTTCAGATTTCACCACTGCCCTGCTTGATGTCCTTGTCTGGACTGTTCCATTTGAAGTCTTGGCGGAAGGGGAGAGATGGGTCATACCATCTTGGCAGACACTTCTGAAGGACTAGTCCTTTGTCCTTACGGCAGCCCAAAATGGCCAGAAAAGTTGAGGATCCTTGACTTATTTTACAGATATCTGGCAGTGACCTTTTGGTAATGGAAGGCTCTACCACCATCCAATCTTATTTCTCCCTGAACTTGATTAGGATTCATGCTTCATCATGCTAGAGAAAAGTTCTAAATAACACTGGAAGCAAAGAATAACATCGTTTTTTGTAGCATGTTCAATCCTCGCTGATTCCTGGATTATTGTCATTCCACACTTCCTTTTATCATATCTACTTATCATTCATACTGCAGTTTTCCAGACATTTAATTTAAATTTCCACTCCTTGAGAAAATGCAACAATGGCAGCTAATCACATCTGTTGTAGTGAGTTCCACCAATCAATGACGGCACACATTTCTCTAAAAACCTGGATCTTTCTTAGTTTTGTCTGGTATGTTTGGCACCCGAAGTCAGATTTCATGCCTGTTTATTTCCAGGAGTTCTATCAAGATCTTGGGATTTGAAGACAAATTTCCATTCCTCTGAGCACTCTTAAGTATAGATAGTCCTTGACTGACAGCCATTTATTTAGTGACTGTTCAAAATTACAACAGCACTGAAAAGAGTGACTTATGACCATCGGTCCTCTCACTTCTGACTGTTGCAGCATCTCCACAGCCATTTGATTAAAACTTGGCTCCATGTATTTTTGACCGTTGCAGCAATGCTGGAGTCATGTAATCGCCGTTTGCGACCTTCCCAGACGGCTTCTGACAAGCAAAGTCAATGGGGGGAGCTGGTTTCACTTAATGACTGTATGGTTCACTGAACAACTGCAAGTGATTCGCTTAACAACTGTGGCAAAAAAAATCATAAAACTGGGTGCAGCTTACTTAACTGCCTTGCTTAGCAACAGAAATTCTAGTCCCAATTGTGGTCGTAAATCGAGGACTACCTGAAGGGTAATTTTTTGTGCCTCTTTTGTATGGGAAGAAGCACAAGAAATGCCTGCAAGAGCAGCAGCCCACTCAGTTTCCCACACAAAAATGCAGAACTAACCCTTGCAAGCAAGGGACGATGGGGTAAGTCATACAATCACGTGCACATCTTCCGTTTCTGCGGGGGTGGCCTCGCCCCACAATGTGCACAGAGAAGCCCTGCGCAATTGGTTTAAGAGGGTAGATGGAAATGACCATATCCAGCATTTTATCTATTGCATCAGATTTTTCTTCTATTGGCTTTGTTTTGCTCAGTTGAAGTGCTGTGTCCTCTCAGTCCACTGAAGAGCATCCTTATCCTGTTTTCTACCATTTTCATTATCACTCTCTTAGCTGGGAGAGCATCAATGCACTGGTTCAGGTTTTGAAAAAAGAGACCCTTTCAGATATGAGTCAGTTGGGATGCACTGAAGTACGGGGCTGCAATTGTTTTATTTACTTATTTACGTCCATCACAGCACACAAACGGATGAATCTGTATGTCTCTGCCTATGAAGTGGTGTTTGTTTGCTGTGGGTTGCTATCTCCCTAACAATGGGGGCCCATGATTGCAATTTTTATATATGCGATGGAGAAAGGGAAGAAATAAAGCACGAGAAGAGCAAAGAAAGTGAGACGGGAGAAGAGGAAAATGTGCAGGAAAAAATATCACAGTTTTCTGTTTGAACAAAGTCACAGTTTTGTCTCCTAACGTCCTTTCCCACCGCAAGGTCCAAACAGTAGTGTGGAGGGGGCCCTCCACCACCCACCCCCTGCCCTGGAGCCTGTTGGCACTGGCTGCTCCAGCTGCCAATCTGTGGGAGAACAGGGAGTTGCCCCCACCTGCTGGGACCCTCACTCGGTGCTTGTTCAAAGAGGAGCAGCCCTGCTGTTGCAGTAGCCCACTGCCACCGACCAGAGGACCCCACCCCACCAATGTGCCACAGAGTGGCAGGAAAGCCCTTTTTCTGGATATAAAAGGTCTGTTATGGAAACGCAGGTGGGAACAGCTCCCCTGTACCCCCACCCCCCGCTGCAAATTGGCTGGTGCAAGGGATTGGGTGTTTTGTCAGGGGGGCTATTCTGGTGGCACTTGGGGTAGCAGTAGCAGAGTGTTGCCCCTCTCTGAGATGTTGTCTCTGTTCTCCCTTCTGATTATTTTTTTCTTTTAATGAGAATATTAGTGGTTCCAGTCCCCACTGTGGTTTTATCTGTGATACTCTTTTGGTTGAACAATTCCCCTTCTCTGTGGCAGGGAGATATGACACTATGCCATCTCTTCTTGGTGGCATCCTGGCAGCATGCCCTTGGTGGGTTCATTGGTGGCCCTGATCTGCATCACCCGCTCCATGGCCATCTTCGTGGTATTGCCTTTGTTTCTTTAGTTGGGCCACGATGCCATCTCCACCTTCTGAGTCTCTATCACAATTCAGTCTTTTTTTTTCTCTTATTTCATCTTAAATGTCTTTCTCTACCCCTCCCCCACGCCCGCCCCACCTGGCGCTGGTCATACCTCGGACTCCAGGCTGGAGAAATGGGCCGAACCACGCCTGGCAAAAAGCTCCCCGCTTCGACTCACCCGGCGTGGCAGCCACTCCGGGGAGAAGCCACCCTGGTGTCGATGGGAAGCCCCACAGCGCATCATGTGGCAGGAGCTGAGGTCCTCCAGACTACGGGAGGTTGGGTGCAGGACTCCACCACCTGGCCCCATCTCACAGGAATGATGGTGGCAGCGTCGGTGGAAGCCGTGGCGATGCCGAGGAACCAGGCAACTGTAGTGGCTACAGTGTCGATGCTCCCAGTCCAGCCGGCGTTCCAAATGCTCTTCCGAGCAGCTCAAATAATGCAAGGCTTCCTTGCGGCACGGCGGAGTGGGTGGCGGGAGCATTTCTAGGCTCAGGCAGTGCTGGCAAGGACCGTGACACCCATGGCATTTGGCCAACTTGTCGGCCGACCAGTAGTGCAGAGGCTTGTGCGTGGCAAAGAGCTGCCTCTCTCGGGAGGGGTAGGTGCAGAAATAATCTGGCGACTGGTACCAGCAGCTGTGGCCATCACTATCCCTCTCACAGATGTCGGAATCAGAGTCTGAAAAGTCCACATAATGACTTTGGCTACGCAAACTGGCACCGACGGCAAGTGGGTGGGAATGGCTGCGGCAGATGTGAGCCCGGGAGCTCCTCTCGCGGCTTGACGTGGTTGGGCATTTTGCTTCTGGCTCAGCTCGTGGCAGAGATGCCTCCTCAGCATGTCGGTAACGGGGGACTGGTGGGGAACGTTCATCTTCGTAGGACAGCCGGGTGTAGCCGTAGCGGCTTCGCTCTTTCCCAAAAGACCTGGAAGTGCTCCTCTCCAACTCACAAGGGCTTTTAGTGGGATAACTGCTTGAAGGACCATCATATTTTTTCACCTCGGAAGTTCGGCCAGCTCCTTTCCCTGCTTGGAAACTTTCGTACAAACCCCGGAGAGATTTGCGTTGCCAACCTGATGCCACCGGTGGCATATCTGGAGAATCTTTTTCCCTCACTATAGCAAAGTAGGACGGAGGATTTTCCAGCCCACGGGAAGGCTGTGGGGGAGAGAGCTGACAGGGTGCCATTTTTTTGCTGCTGACATGATCTGAAAGCCCTTCGGGTTCGATGGGGCCATAGAACCGGTGGAAGCCATCCGAGAAAGGACTCTTGAGGCTGTGGCGTGGTGGTTTAGTGGTAGGGAGTTCTGCAGGTGTAGGGGGGTACAAATCCTTGTAACAGTTGGGGCTACGGGCATGACGCCACCGTTCCACAATGCGCCGTTCACGAGGCAGGAAGCTGGAACAGGGAAGTGGAGGCCCAGGAGGACTGGGCAAAGCTGGGGGTACACCTCGCGATGGTCCATAGGTGTGATTCAGGATGGGCAACTGCTGCTGGTCTGGTATTTTGGGGTCTTCACTGCTACAACAACTATACATGCCCTGGAAGAAATGGGAGAAATAGATATAGATACATAGATATATAATAGGTTCTTCAACTACAGTTATGTTTTTACCTGTAGCAAGCTTATACTTTCAATAGTGCAAAAAATGCAATGGAAAAATTGTGAACAAGAGAGTGCTCCGTAAAATGACACCTGGGCAGGTAAGACAATTAAATACAGGTGTCCTCAATTTATGACTGTAATTAAGATCAGAATTACATTCATAAGTCATAGTGGTTGTTAAAGCAGTTCAGCACCTGATGGTTCCTGATTTTATAACCATTTTTTGCGGCAGTCTTTAAGCAAACTCATTGTACCCAACTGGCATTTTTTCAGAAAACTGGAAATAAACATCAGTTTCTGGCAAAAAAAAAATGTAAATTGCAGTCACATGACTGTGAGATGTTACAAACAGTCCTAAATATGGAATAGTTGCTAAGATCCCAAAATGTAATCATATGGCTATGGGAGGCGGGTGGAGGGATGGAGGTCTGTCTTAACTTTGAACAATCATTAAATAACTATTCGTAAGTAAAAGAATAACAGAATTGGAAAGGATCTTGGAGGTCTTCTAGTCCAACCCTCTGCTCAAGCAGGAAAGCCTATACCAGTGATGGCTGACCTTTTTGCCGTTGCGTGCCAAAAGCAGGGGGAGCGCAGGGGAGTTTCGCGTGCGCATGCCCACACCCATAATTCAATGCGCCCTGCCCACCGCGCATGCACACGCGAGACCCCCGCCGTACAACCCTCACTTTTGGCATGTGATGGCACAGTGGGCATGGTAGGCCCATTTTTCGCCCTCCCCAGGCTCCAGAGGCTTTCTTGGAGCCTTGGGAGGGCAAAAACGGCCTTCCTCACTCCCCTGGAGGCCGTTTCCTGACTTCCAGTGGGCCTGGAAGGCCTGAAAATCAGCGGGCTGGTGCACACATGGGTGCTGGAGCTGAGCTAGGGCAACGCTCATGTGCCCACAGATATGGCTCCGCGTGCCACCTGTGGCACATGTGCCATAGGTTCGCCATCACGGGCCTATACCATTTCAGACAAATGGTTTTCCAATCTCTTCTTATGTCAAAAGCTATCAGTATTAGTTCTATACTAAGAACGTCCTAAATTGAGTTCTCAGCATAAGCTTTGAATAGGTTGGAAAAACATCTGCCTTCACAGCGATTGCCGGGATAAGGGAGACGATATCCAAACTAGTTGAGCCAGAGATCACCTGCAATAATTCCTGACATATAACAATAATGACAATATAAATCACTGCTCTCCAGTTTTACACAATTATCTTCTTTTAAGTGCAACTTAAGAATTTCAATGAGATACAGATGACTCCTCTCACCGAACGTATCATTTTTTTCCCCATCTCTCCATTTCCTATGTTGCCTCTGCCACCCAACAGATTTACCCTGAGCCCAATAATCCAGCATCAAATTCCTCGGCCAATTTATCTTTTTGAGTCTTTATATCAAATCCCTAGTTTGACAAGTGTCATCCTAATGAAGCTTGCATAATATACCTATTCAAGATATACCAAGGCAGCACTATGAATTCTAGAAGAATAGGAATTCTTTATCTAGTCAGCCCTATAAAGTAGACCAGACTAAGAAACAGACATTCTGTAGGCCTAAATCTACTTTTATTAGAATAGCTATAGTAACAGGCTCTTATAAGTCTGACTGTATTTCCCTTCCTCCCTCTTTTATCTTCATGTGAATTTGGGGAGAGGGGCTCTGAGGCATTTTTTAAGTAAGGTAGTCCTCGACCTACAACAGTTCATTCAGTGACTGTTCAAAGTTACAATGGCACTGAAAAATGTGCCTTATGACCAGTTTTCAGTTATGACAGTTGCTGCATCCCCATGGTCATGTGATCAAAATTCGGCCTCTTGGTAACTGGCTCATATTTATGACAGTTGCAGTGTCTTGGGGTCATGTGATCACCTTTTGTGATCTTCTGATAAGCAAAGTCAATGGAAAATCAGATTCATTGAAGAGCCTTGTTATTTACTTAACAACTGCAGTGATTCACTTAACAACCGTAGCAAAAAAAGATTATAAAATGGGGCAAAACTCACTTAGCAAATGTCTCACTCAGCAACAGAAATTTTGGGCTCAATTGTGGTCATAAGTCGAGGACTACCTGTTATCTTATTTTGTTTAGGTTAGTCCTTGACTTACAAACAGTCAACAACCATGGTGTTTGCTTAATGACCAATGTAAAGCAAGGTCATTAAATCAGGTAAGTGGCCTGCTTTACCATCGTCGTGACTTACAACTGTAACGGGAAAGTTCTGTTACAGTCATAAGTGAAGGACTGCTGGTATGGGCTCCAGCCAATTTGATTGTCAACTTGGGTCTTCCCTCTGTCTATCAAGAGCATCCTGTATGTCAGTGTTTCTTAACCTTGGCAAGTTTAAGTTGGGTGGATTTCAACTCCCTGAATTCCCCAGCCAGCTCTGCTAGTAATCTCTACAACTTCCCATCTTCTCTCTTACTCAGTTATGGGTACACCATGTAAACCCTTCCACCCTGAAGCTAAGAAAGATAATTTCCCCCTACAAACAGCCTTCTGCTACTGATAGAGACCATTCCTCATGTTGTTGAATTTGCCCTTCAGTATAGACAAATGTTTGCAGAGAAAATTCACCAGGCTAATGAATGGAGAGAAGCAGAGAGGAAGAATAGCAGAAGGGATGGTAGGGTAAGGAAGAAATCCAATTAGATAGTTAAGTTTACAAGAGATCCGGACAGCAAGCAGAGAAATCAAATGGGAGATCGGATTTCTGCCACGTGGATAAATGGGCTCTTTCCCACCATTTTTAAACTTAATTTCAGTACTAGACAACAGTAATTTTAATTGGTTTTATAAAGCGATCGACATTTGCAAATAAAAACTAGACAGCCCTCGATTTACAACTACAGCTGGAAGTGGAAGTAAATCATGCCTGATTTTACAGCCTTTTGGACTAAGGTCATTATACGACTCCAGCTTCCCCCATTGTCTTTGCTTTTTGGAAGCCCCTTGGAAGATTGCAAATAGTGATCACATCACCCCAGGACTTTGCAACTGTCATAAATACATGCCAGTTGCAAAGCATCTGCAACGGTCATAAGTGTGAAAAACAGTCATGAGTCACTTTTTTCAAAACCATTGTAACTTCAAACAGTCACTAAACGAATGGTTGTAAGTGGAGGACCAACTGTTGCTCCTCTAAAACCACATCAAAACTTGATATTGCCTAGGCTTCCTTTAGTGGTCTTTGTAAAAGCTCAGAACTAGGCTTTAAAATCAAATAGATAGCTCCTGTTCCTTCTCCTTGTCCCCAACTTTTTAGAAATTAAGTCACCAATAACCTAAATTTATTTTTTTTAAAAAATAGAGGCATGGAGTTGTAATAGGATGCAGACAAACATCACATTAACATTTGATTGATGCATTTCTTCCTCTGCTCCCTACTCCTGGGAGCGAATCTGCCTTCTCCCAGTGTGTCACTACATTTGATAGAGGTACAAATCAGCACGTCGCCACCTCCAGTTCTTCAGGCAAGCTAGCCAGTTTTTTCTCCCTCAAGTTGAATGAAAACAGATTTATTCGACAGCATGCTAATTGCCCGCCTTAATTTAAAAAGAAGTGCAAATTTTTTTAAAATGCCGAGAAGTAGGGTTGTTTCTTCTTACACTAAAGGCGCTAACAACTGAGTTATGTTTGCAAGTTAATTTTTTAGCTTGCAAACACAGATTACTTTAGCCAGTTTTCTTTAGAAAAGAGATGTCCTTTTGTGACCAAAACATGCTGTGTAGGCTTCAAAAGTGGGACTAATACTAAACTTATGTACATCTGTAGACATGCCTAAATAAAGAGATGGGATTGAGAAAGATAGAAGCAGGAATACATGACCTAAAAATAGCTGATTCTTATCTCAAGTAGCTAGCTTCCATGTTCTGAACAAGTGATAGACAACAAGCAAACCTGAGTAAATTGATTCCCTTTGCAAAATTTAGTTTTAGGTAATGTCAGACCCAACAGTTGCACCTGCAATCTTGATGAGCTCCTTGCCCTTGTTTATGAGATTCCATATCCCATTGTCTATATACATACACATCCTCCCAAGCCTCTAGAAATCTATGGGTTTTTTAAACCCATAAAATTCTAAAAATGCTGATTTCTGTATCCATTTCTCCTTGGAATATTTGAGCAATGCAATCACAGAATTCCTGCAGCTCTAGATAAAAGGAGAGAAGTAAGAGAAGCTAGGAAAAAGTCTGCAGAAGGAAGCGAACAGTTGTGGGGTGTACATGGGAATTGCACACTCTTTTTAAAAACTCACCCTGCTGAAGGCGAGTAGAAAGTCCAGCCGGCCTGTGTGTCTCATGCAGTGGCGCAGTTTCCAGTAGATGAGATGTTCCCAGGCAAAGACCAGCAGGCTCAGCCCCATGGCTACCAAAAGCATGTAGAAGACCCCTGCCATGTTGTCTATATCCAGTTTGCTGCTCATCACCTCTATTTTGTCATTGTGGCAAATCCCTGACAGCCACAGGCGCTCCAGGAGCTCAATTTCGTCTGAAACAAAGAAGGGCAGTGGTAGAAAACATTGGGCGTCATCCCTTTGAGGTGGTCCAGAAACACCAACTGTTTGAGTACTAATATTTCCTTTATTGTAAAGTTACAGCAAAAGACCCTTTCGAGTCTGAAAGTATCTCTCCAATCCTGTACATTTACTCTGCTAAAAATTAGGGAAGGTCCCTTCTGAGATACTTTCTCCACTCTCCTCCTTCAGATTCAGATTTTTGTTTATCAGGCTGGCTGTTGTCTAATCTGCAGCTCTTTCTCTGGTCTCCCAAAGTCACTGTCACATACCATTATAATAGGGCTGTAGAGATGACCTTCTCCCCTGTCCTTTCCCTCCTTCCTTCCTTCCATAAAATGCAAATCCTCTTGTTCTGGACACAAATTGATTGCCATGGCCTGAAATGACCAAGTAGCAGTGACTGTCTCGCACAGCCTTTCTTAAGCTAGTGCCCTTTGGCTGCATTTGCAGTATAGGTAGTCCTTGACTTACAACCACAACTGAGCCCAAAATTTATGCTGTTAAGTGAGACATACTTCCAGAAACACCTCATCAGAAGAGCTCTATTGGACGTTTGGATTAAAACTAAGCAACAAAATTATTGCTTAGTACATTGTAAGCTGCCCTGAGTCTCCGGAGAAGGGCGGCATATAAATCAAATTAAAATATATATATATATATATATATATATATATATAGAAATTCCTAATTGGCTGTCGACTCTGGAGATGTTTGTACATCCAAATTTCATGAAATTAGGAAGAGTGATTACGTATAAAGACATACTGAATGAAAAGGGAGAAGTGAGGTTTAGATAGGACTTAAAAGAAGGGATAGAACTAAAATGGTGGGCATATCGTCAGATTCAATCCCGATACGTAAGAGATAAAAATGAATGGGGCATAAGAACCGAACCAATAGAATTGGATGAAATCTTACAAGAGGCAGATGTGAAGATGATTAGGAAATTATATAAATATTTACTGGATTATGACATGATAGAAGAGCAAGTGAAAGAGACCATGCTCACCTGGAGTAAGAATTTTGGGTATGGCATAGATCTAGATAGCTGGCAAAAACTATGGGAGAGGAATAGAAAGCTTACCCTGGCCACTGCATATAAAGAAAATCAATACAAGATGTTTTACAGATGGCATTACCCACCCACACGACTGGCCAAGATATGCAAAAATTGCTCACCAAAATGTTGGAAATGTAAAACAACATTAGGCACCTATTATCATATGTGGTGGGGGTGCCCGAAAGCCAAGGACTTTTGGTGCCAAATAAAACAGTGGCTAGAAGAGATGTTAAATAAGACGATAGATATGATGCCAGAACTCTTCCTTCTGGGTATAGTAAGGGATAATTACAAAAAAGAAGAAATATATTTTATGTAAACACACTAACGGCAGCAAGGTTGATATTCGCACAAAATGGAAATGCAAGTGAGACATTTGTTAAGTGAGTTTTGCCACATTTTATGACCTTCCTTGTCAGTTTGTTTGTTTGTTTATGAGATTTATATTGCTGCCTATTTGCACATGGCAACTCAAGGCGGCTTACAAGAATATAAAAAAATCATATCAAGGGAATCATTGCAGTTGATAAGCTAGGAACCCAGTTGACAAGTGAATATGGCTTCCCCAAATACGACTTTGCTTGTGAGAAGTTCGCAAAAGGGGATCACATGACTTTAGGACACAGCAATGGTCATAAGTATGAACTGGCTCCCAAGCCTCTGAATTTTGATTACATGATCATGGGATGCTGCAAAGGTTATAACTGTGAAAAATGTTCATAAGTCTTTTTTTTTTTTCAGTGCTGTTGTAACTTTGAACAGTCACTAAATGAACTGTTGTAAATTTAGAACTACTTGTATATAGGATGGCTAGAGAAATCTGCTAGTGGTATTCACAAATACAACTGGGAAATCTGATTCGGGACCACAGCAATATTGGAAGACCCTTCCACAGTGTCTCATTTTCACTCAAAACTTTCACCCACTCTTAACACTGCCCAGTAATTCTTCAGTGAACCCCAATGGTTGAACAGAGAAACTGGCATCCAATCAGTGCCAGGCTTCCCATCAAACTTTAAAGTTCTGCCTATTTATTTAATGATGTCTAAATAATCAGTGTAACAATGGCAAAGACAAGCAAAAGTCTACCATGATATTTCAGAACTGGAATCTTGTCAGCGGTGTTGGGGTGTTGCAATGAAGTGGGAATTCCCACCCATGGGAAACTTGAAGCTTAGACACAGTGCAAAATTGAGGTGGCAGAGCCAGAAGTTGTTTATCTCTGCTGTTTAACAAAGAAGTTGGTGTGTGACCACAGAGGTTACAGGTAGTCCTCGACATACAGCCAAAATTGAGCCCAACTAAGCAAAACAGTTGTTAAGTGAATTTTGCTCTTTTTACAACCTTTCTGATCACAGTTGTTAAATGAATCAGTGCAGCTGTTAAGTTAGTAACACGGTTAAATGAATCTGGCCTCCCCATTGACTTTATTTGTCAGAAGGTCACCAAAGGGGATCGTATGACCTCAGGATGCCTGAACTGTCGTTAATACATGCCAGTTGCCAAGCATCCTAATTTTGATCATGTGATTGTGGAGATGCTGCAATGGTCATAAAGGTGTATAATTGTCATAAGTCATTTTTTTCCCAACGCTGTTGTAACTTTGAACAGTCACTCAATAAATGGTTGTAAATTGAGGACTAATTGGATGGCCTATCTGGGAATGAGGCAAATGCTGAGAGTAAAAGGAGAAAGGAAGCCACTAAGCCCTTTCCACAAACAATTATTTAGGGACTATCAGTTATAATGAATTTCAGTCTGCAGCACTAAAAAAATGCGAGTATCATGAATGTTTGAGAAGTGATGATAAAAACGTAGTTTGCATTTTTAAACTGGAATAAAGGTGAATTTTGCTAGCTGAAGGTGAAGCAGCCAGTGCCTTGTTCTTTAACTCTTAATTTTCAGTACAAGATCGTTGCATTTGCTGCTTGCTGCAGGAATATCCATTTGTTTCTATTACGCTCTACTGTAAATCAAACTGATATTACCAGTTGTATTTCATCTGAAAGAAACTAAACATGGAATTCTCAGTACAGAAGAAAAATGCAGTCGTATATTTGGCAATCTTGGTTGCAAATGTAAATGAATAATTAGTGTGTGTTAAATGAAACTAATCAGTGCTAACTAAAGTTTAGAATCAATGCATGGAAAACAGAAAATGGTAACAAAAAATATGAAAACAGAAGATCAAGTAGAACTGATAAAGTTTAATATTGAGAAAAAGTAAAATACTTGAATTACTGTGACTGTATATTATTTCAAAATAAATTATGTTCAGCCATGGAATGAAATTAAGAAGGACATCTTAAGATGGTAGAAATTAAATTGTCACTGTTGGGGAGAATTTTATAAGCAAAATCAATGTTTTGCCTAGAATGTTTTTGCTTCAGACTATACCTTTTTGACAACTGATATACCATTCAAAAATATATATCTAGATTTGTATGCAAGGGGAAAAAACACAATTTAAATACAGAGTGCTAACAAGACGCAAAGGAAAAAAAGAGGGTTTGGTTTCCCAGTTTTTAAATTCTATTTTGGAGCCCTTTTTTGTTTGTTTGTTTGATGGTTTGGATGAAAGAATAGGTGTTGCTGAGAAAGAAAAGACTTTTAGAGTTAGAAAAACATGACCTAAGATATGGGCAGCATGTATACTTATGCTACAGTAAAGTTAATGTGGATTTTAAAAATCATTTCATTTGAAATGCCATACTGAGAATATGGAATAGATAGAAACCAAGATTGTGCACAAAAAACATTGTACATATTTGTCTTTACAAGCAAAAACAAATAGTTAACATACCATACTAGAAATTATTAGAGAGTCAGCAAGGGGAATTTAACATTAAATCAAGAGAGGAACTAATGGAATAGGATATAGACTATATCATATATCATATAGTTGTCAGTGGTTTTCCGTATTACAGTTATCAGAAAGATTTAAAAGAGATAGAAAGACATCGTATGAAGAAAAGGAAGACAGAATTTGAAGTGCGATTCTGTACCAATGATGAACATGTAATTGCTAAAACATATAAAATTTTCTTGAAATCTGAAATGGAAGAAAAGCAGGTTAAAGAAGGTATGTTAAAGTGGGCTAATAATATACAGATGGATCCATCTATCAATGTATGGTCAAAAAGGTTGAAATTTACATTGTTACGATCTTAAGGATAATTTTTATAAAAATGATGTATTATGGGTACATGACACCAGAGAAATTATCTAGAAAGTATAAAGGCATTTTAAATATATGGAAATGTGAACAACTTGAAGGCACATTTTATCATGCTTGAGAGATATGTAAAAAAAACTTTTAAAAAAAAAGGATTTCAGTATATACAGAGGATTTTAGACATTCAACTGAAGCCAGAACCTTTCCTTATGAGACTGATAAAGGATAAAGGGTTTAAAAAGAGCCATGGAAGATTATTTCAATATGTGATTACTATGGCAATTATCATATGTACAAAGTGGAAAGTTTCGTCATTACACACCATGGAGGAACATCAGATGAAATTGACAGAATTTGCTGAGATGGCTAAATTGGCTTCTTTGATTAGAGAAAGGTCATTATTGACATTCATCAACCACTGGAAACCTATTATGGATTTTTTTGTGTGTAAAAAAGAAAATGATTTTGTGACTTATGGTTTAGATGATTAAAAAGAATAATGATTATGATGAAATCTTGGAGAGAGATTTGATTAGAATTGTATGTATTACTGCTGAGAGGAAAATTGGAAGCCATTTTTAATATCTCATATTTTATTTTCCATCTCCTTTTTTTCTTTGTCTCTTCTTTTCTTCTCCTTTCTTTTCTTCCTCTTTCACATTTGTTATATCTTTTTCCTTGAATATACTTCTTACTATATATGTAAGACCTATTAATAAAAAAGTATTTAAAAAGAATTTGTGTACTGAAAAATAGCATCACACCCCATTTCTAGCCGAGGAGAAGAAATATTTTCTTATCACAATGATGCTGCTTAATCCAATTTGATGGCTGACAGATGAAGTAGATTGCTGCTTGTCAATCTGAGAAGAGAACATGGCCCATGCATAAGCCTTGAATGTAAAATTTTAGGAATTATTTTAAATATATGTCTTAGAAATAGATACGAGATGCCCCACAGCGGAAGGTATTACCAACTTAGGATATACAGTTTGGGAAATGGCTGCATGGAAATCTGGCTCCAAAGGGCAACATATGATTTAGAGTAAGGGTGTCAAACTCAAGGCCTGTGGGCCACATCCGGCCCATGGGGAAGTCTTGGAATCAGCAAAGGACTGGCCTGCTGTGCCTCTGCCAACAAAAACGGAGCTGGGGACCCCCGGGCTCCATTTTTGCTGGCAGAGGGCTAGCAAAACAAACTAAAAACAAAACAAAAGGAAAAATGTTGCCCCTTTTGCATTTGAGCATACAAGAAGGGACAGGAAAGGAGAAAGGGAAAGAGGAAAGACAAAGAAAAAGAAGGAAAGATGAGAAGAAAGCAAGGAAGAAAAAATAAGGAAAGAGGGGAAGGAAGAAGAAGAAGGAAGGAAGGAAGGAAGGAAGGAAGGAAGGAAGGAAGGAAGGAAGGAAGGTTATAATAAGAGTGAGGGAGGGTCTCAGGGAAGTCCTGTCTTACCACTTGGCCACTACAGGTGCCTCCGACACGAGTGATGTCGAGCTGGCCACGCCCACCCCGGCCTCACCCACCCCGGCCCTCTGAGGTCAAGCACAACCCTGCTGCGGCCCTCAATAAAATCAAGTTTGATTTAGAGCATGCAGGGCCCTCTAACAGCATCTCTCAGGTACACCTTAAAGTTATTGTACATCTTCCTGAATTTGTCAATCTTAAGAAGGAGCCTACCTTGCTTTAAGGAGCTCTTGTCATGCTACATGCATATTTACAGGTACTCTGAATCACATTTGTTTTTTTCTTTCTAGATCTCTTCACAGTCCAATGGGCTATATAGTTAAAAAAAAACTTTTTTCCAGTGACACTCACTTGAGAGTATGCACTTAGAATAATGCATAATACTCTTTAATTTTAGGTACTGGTATATTTCAAAAAGTCCATTACAACATTTATTTCTGCCTCCCAATTCATTATTTGCTTCTAACCCAGGCTTTCCACTTCAATTCCCGTGTCCCTCCTTAGAACCTGGGCCTGATCCATGAAGTCTTACCATCGCTGAGAAACTGAAGCAGGGCCAGGTCAATGGGTCGTTTCCATTTGGATCCTTTTTGCAGGGCAATGCCATACCCAGTTGTGGCAAAGACCTTCCCACTTCCTATGGTGACAAGCTTGCAACCTTCTTCCTTGCGGGCCATGTAGTTGAGGACAGCTGCATCATAAATGAAAGCGTCCAGCTTCCTGCAGACAGGAAAAAAAGGCAGGTTGAGATGAGTTGAGGAGAACACAGAGAAGGTGCACCTCAGGGAAGGTGGGCTGTAAGGAACTGCAGATTCAATTTCTCTCTTTTGAAAACAATCTAAGTATTTGTTCCAAATAAACCAGATACCTGTTTTTAATAGAAGATAGTATTTGTAGCTCAGGGTTGAACTGTGCTCCCCTTGATGCTCTAAGAGCTTGCTTATTTCCTTGAAGATGTTTCATTACCCATCTAGGTAACATCATCACTGTTAGCTCTCATGATGCACCTAGCACTGATAATGTTACCTAGTTGGGTAATGAAATGTCTGCAAGAAAACAACCAGGCTCAGAGAGCACCAAGAACCCCACACATGTTTTTGAATCTTGAAAGAATTCAGTTTTCTTGGAGTCTAACCCACGCAGCTTAAAAGTAAATTGGTTTGATAAATCCATAGAAAGATGTAGAGTTGTTTTCCTGCGAGGCAAAAGGTGGCTAGTTTGGATTAGCTAATTGGGAGGAAACCATGTCTATAGATGGCCAGAAGGAAGAAGCTAGCAAATAATTTAGCAGCCTACCTTACTATATCTTAATCCTCAATCTATATCAATAAACAGCATACAGAAATATTATTTTATTTATTTGTATCCCACCTTTATTTTTTATTTGTATTCCAACTTTATTATTTTTACAAATAACTCAAGGTGGCAAACATATCCAACACACTTTCCTCCTCCTATTTTCCTCACAATAATGGTATGAGGTGGGTTCGTTCAGCTGAGAGTGAGTGACTGGCCCAAGTCATCTAGCTGGCTTTCATGTTTAAGGTGGAACTAGAAGTCAAGGTCTCCCACTTTCTAGCCTGATGCCTTAACCACTAAACTGGCTCTTTATGACTGATTAATATCCCTAAAATAGTAAAAACATAGGCAGAGATTTAAAACACTAAGAATACAACTCATAAGCCAATAAGAAAAAAAGTTATTTATTGTTAGAATAAATCCTGTCCTTCACCTTGTTCTTCATTACTCCCTCAAGTTGATTGATTCACAATAGCCTTCATACTTTTATATATTTATACAAAGTCAGCTTATTGCCCCCACAAACTGGGTCCTCATTTAACCTACCTTAGAAAGGATGGAAGGCTGAGTCAACCTTGAGCCTGGTAAGGTTCGAACCTGCAGTAATTGCAGGCAGCTGTGTTAATGACAGGGTGTTCTAAAGCACTGTACTACCAAGGCTCATATATATATATATACACCTCTATCTTTTCATCTCCTCTTAAATACTTTAGTTGTACAATATTGCCACTTCTAGTTTCTTATACGCATAATAGCCTGATGTTCTTATTACAATGAACTTTCTGTAGGAGAGATGTCTACAGTTCTGCTTCCTTCTAAAGAGACCAACCTCAGCCCTTTTAAGATGTGTGAACTTCAACTCCCAGAATACCCCAATCAGAAATGAGAAGAGTGGGGTATTCTGGGAGCTGAAGTCCACACATCTTAAAATCGCTAAGGTTGGAAACACTGGTCTACAATATTTTTGCACACCATAGCAACATTGTGATGCCTGGAACCAGCTCTGGATTTGGATGGGGTGGAGGTGGGGGGTAGAAATGCTACTGAACTGCATACAGAATCAAAAGAAGTCTGCAGGAATTTAAAAAGCAATGCAAATAATAAAATATAACAAATTTCCTTCAGGATAAAATTCACATTTAACTAAACTAGTGAGACTACTGTATGTGTGTGAGTGTTCATAATTTTCTACAGAATCATGTCGTAGCTGTTAATCTGTCTTAATTAGCAGCATATATATGTGTGATCTTGGTATATAGGATTAAATAGTAAATCATATATTTATAATAACCCAGCCAGTTGGCTTTTTAAATTGATAGCAGGCTTGACAGCTGTTCCAATAGCAATGAAGACCCTATCCATATGTCTGCTCAAAGGAGGCCGTTATAATCCCTCTTGTATTGTGGAAAATAAAATTTAAGTTGCAAAACGTTCACATATGAAAATTTCAGATATAAACCCCCCATTAGCAGCTTTACTAAAAGCATAATGCTGCACAGTTCCTTTAGCAATGGGTACCTCATGGGGTGGGGCTCGTTTTATTTAGTTTCTTTCCAAAAGGAATCAGCCAGAATTCATAGACATTCACAGAAAGCGCTGTTGTGACGAACAGTAGGAAGCCTGCTTAGTAGTAGGCACTGTTGGGACTAACATGTATTCATGGGAAGACTCAAGAAAGTTACACACATATTTATTTATTTCTTTAAACATAAATACAGACTTACTCCTATGTACTGCATTCAGAAGATTTGTGGAGACACCTGGTTGAACTGAAAGGATTCAGAATATTTATCAATTTACCATTGATAAAAATGGTAAGAGGCAGTCTAGTATAGTGATGGTACAGAGCTAGAAACTAGGAGATTATAAATTCTAGTCCCGCTTTAGACATGAAAGTCGGCTGGGTGATTTCAGCCCAATCAACAGGAGACTGTGAGTTCTAGTCCCACCTCAGGCATAAAAGTAACTAGGTCAGGGGTCTCCTTGGTAACTTTAAGCTTTGCTGGCTGGGGAATTCTGGGAGTTGAAGTCCTACAGGCTTAAAGTTGCCAAGATTGGAGACTCCTGTACTAGTTGACTTTGAGGCAGTCACTCTCTCTCAACCCAACTCACCTCATAGGGTTGTTGTGGAGAAAATGGTTTTCGCAGGTGTTTGTATGTAGGTCTTTGGTTATTTGGGTCTTCTCCCACGTAAAATTGGAAGTGTCTTGGCGATGTATCGACGAAGTCTCATTCGTCATCTTCAGGCTGGTGTTCTCGGCTTCATGCTTCCAGGAGCTCCTGGAAGCACGAAGCCGAGAACACCAGCCTGAAGATGACGAATGAGATTTCGTCGAAATGTCGCCAAGACACTTCCAATTTTACGTGGGAGAAGACCCAAATAACCAAAGACCTATATATATATATATATATATATATATATATATATATATATATGTGTGTGTGTGTGTGTGTGTGTGTGTGTGTGTGTGTGTGTGTGTATATATATATGTATATGTATATGTATATATGTATGTATGTATGTATGTATGTGTGTATATATATATATGTGTGTGTGTGTGTTTATATATATATATATACATATATATATATATACATATATATATATGTCTATGTAAGTTTTCACGGGTATATATGTGTGTACAGTTAATATTTCGGGTTTCTTCCCGTGTAATTGTCACAATTACACGGAAAGAAACCCAAAATATTAACTGTACACACATACACACACACACACACACACACACACACATATATATATATGTATATATATATATATTCACTACCTTGAGTTACTTATAAAGAATAAAGCCAAGATAAAAATCTAATAAATAAATAAATCAGCAGATTTTAACATTTTTAGTTTTTAAGTAATACAAATCCTTGAAGAGACAGTCCTCTTACATGGGAGGAACACATCTAAAAAGTTGTTTTCTCTATCCAAATTGTATTTGCTCTGAAAATAAAATATATATTTTTTGCCTTTAGAGCTCCTTTTTCTTGTGAGTCTCTCAACCGACTCACTGATTAATTGACCAAAACTCACGTTATTAACTTGACCAAGATTTATTTAATAAAAACTAATTAACAAACTTGTGTTACAAGGTCACAAAATAATATGGGTGTGAGAGTCAGCCATGTCACCAGCCACATCCAACAGCCACCCATGACACTTGCTTAATCAAATGTCACACTGTAATCGCCACAGCAATTAATATCCCTTTGCAGCTGTGAGTTGCATAGGCAGGGGGAAACACGGCCCCTTTTTCAGGGTATATGACTGCACTCCAAACACAGCCAGCTAGTAGAGAGAATGTGAGAAATGTCTAAAACTTGCTGGAATGTGTTTGCTGGTAAGATCTTCAGATGTTACACCTGTAAGAGAAGAGCAGGCAGACCCTGGAGGAGGAGTCAAGTGAGTAATTAGCCTGGAGTCCTTAAGTTCCTAAATCCAGCCCCTCTTGAATTCCATTAACTCTTATCTAGTGGCAATTTAGTACTGACTATTAGTTGACTAGATTCTTATGAATAGGCATGATCAATAAGATTCTTTGTACCTGGCAACACCAGCTGGAATGTGAGTGACCACTGACCATCTACTCTAGATCACAGGAGACAATATTAAAATTGGAGTGGCTAAATGAAGACATGGGGGGGAACAACAATCTTGTCTTCCTTCCCTACCCGTTCTCCCAATGTTATATTGGTCTTTCCTCCCATTCCCTCTTTACTTACCCTGTCTGCAGATTCTGAAGTGCATCTTCCACACTGCGCTGGTTGTACTTCCCCATATATTCATGCATTTCTCCATAGTTGTTCCGAATATTTTTTTCGGTGCTACCATTAGGAACTGTGCCAAATCTCAAAGGAGGATAATGGTGCTGGGGTCTCTGAAACTGTGGAGAGTAGACAAATGAAACAGGCATTGCCAGCCCATCCTTAGAAATGGAAATACACTCAGGATATAAGAGACTAATCCTATCTGAGAGGATTGGAAGCTTCTGTGTTTTGGCTGAGTGAAATACATGATGTTTGGCTAGCCAATAGAAATCATATCCAAAATTTGGATTTCTAGATATCAGGAGATTTCTGCTATGTCAGAGGTCAGGTAAATCTAGAGCTGGCTGGCTAAAATATGGATGGTTAGGAGGACAACTCATTGCTGGACTTATCTTTTAAAAAGTTTTATTAATCTTAATTGTAATATATGTTTCTGTGTGTACACACACACAGATCATACATACATATGCGTATACGTGTGTGTGTGTGTGTGTGTGTGTGTGTGTGCATACACATACCCACACATATATAAGCTGAAGCAAGGACAGGTTGAGCTCCTGTCCTTGCTTCAGCTTCTGCCAACCTAGCAGCTCAAAACCATGCAAATAGAAATAGATACAGTAAATAGGTACCACTTTAGTGGGAAGGTAACAGTGCTCTGTGATGTCATGCTAGTCACGTGACTACATTTTTTTTTTTTTAAACAGCGCTGGCTATATGGTCTTGAAATGGAGGTGAGCACCGCCCCTTTGCATTGGACACAATTAGCGGGGTAAAAATCCACAAGCACTTCTTTACCTTTTTACAATACATACATACATACATACATACATACATACATACATACATATAATATTTCTATTTTTTATATTTCATTCTAACAAAAGGAGAAACACTGGTATCAGGAAGGATTTTTCCAAGGATATAGTCATAGAATTTCTCCTTTTAATTTTTCTGGCAATCCAGGTGAATGATGTTAGTATTTCTTGAAAGTATATCTGAGAATAAGTCTCAGGGGCTTCTCACTTGTCACATATAAGCAGGTATAACTGAGCTCCAATATCATTTTGTAATTAAAAACAGCTTTGGGAAAGAGGCTTTCAGAGTCAAGACCATGAGGCCAAATAAACTTTTGTATACCCTTAGCAGAAAAAACAGTCGTATACTATATGTGTAACTCCAAGTCACATAGTAACAGTTAGGAAGAAAGAAAGATAAATACTGTTGATTGCATTTCACTGCTCTAAATATTATTTTTTGAATCTACCTTGTATTTTCTAATGGCTCTCCATGTCAGTTTCATGCAGCACAACTGGTTATTAACCCTACAGGTTGTAATCAATTACCAGGTTTACAATTTGGGCGCTTAAAAGTTAAGAACACTTATGAAAGTGGTACCTAGGAAAAGCCTAGAGAGATTCTGAATTCTGCAAGTAGCTTTGAGGCTGCACAAAATTTATGTATATCTTTTCTAGGATGATTCTCTCTCTTTCTCTCTCCGTATATACCTGGATATATGCATTTAAACTCAAGATACATGCATGCATATAAACTTGATACGTACGTACATACATACATACATACATACATACATACATTTAAACTCAAGTTACATATATACATTTAAACTCAAGATACATATACACATTTAAATTTGATACATGCATACATGCATAGTCTAGGGCATGTCGATTTTTTCAACTTTCAATTTCCAAAAACTAGGGGTGCTCAAAAGTTGTGACATGCCTTGAGGATTGTAAAAATATTTTGGTTATTTTAATATAATTTAGCTATTCTTGGTAAGTAACTACATAAATTTTGTAACTTTTTAACATTTTGTTTCATTTGCATACTGTACATACAACCATACATACATACATACATACATACATTTAAACAAGATTGTACATGCATAGATCTAAATTCAACATACATATATTTAAACAAGATGTATTCTATATATTATATATACATATATTTAAACTCAAAATACATGCATACATGTAAATTCAAGATGCATACATATAAACTGAAGACCTATATTTAAACTCTGGGGTGAACAGTTAACTTTGTCTTTTATGTAAAAGAAGAGGAGAGCAAATAATTTAGAAAGCCAACTGCAAGCAGGGTATATGCCTATGGGTGGAAGCGAGGTCTCCAATGGCCTCAGAAATAGATGGACGCCATGGAAAGATAATTCTAGATACAAAAGGATTCAGCAGTTGTCAGAAAATGATTGTTGACAGAGAGGTGCACAGAGATCAGCAATACGGAAATAGACCGGGACACATTTAGAAGGATCAAGGGCAGGGACAGCCTGTTTGTTCTCTTCTAAGAAAGGACTTCAGAAAGCTGTAGAGAAAAACATCCTTGTCACGTTTCAAGCCACATCAAATTGATTGCCTATAACACACTGCTGTTCTGGGGGACCCTCGGACCTTTCTTCAGCATAGCACAGATAAGGAAGAAGCGGCCAATTTAAAACCCATCCCTAGTCAGGGACAAAAGTCAGAGCATCAGCACACTGAAGGGATTGATTCCTCTAAATGAGGATCGTGGAATGAGGCTACTCGGTGGCAAATAGCTGAGGAGCCATTACAGCAGGGGTAGTGAACCACGGCCCTTTTATGACTTACGGGCTTCCCAGAATCCCTGAGCCAGCATGGCTGGCTCAGGAATTCTGGGTGTTGAAGTCCACAAGTCGTAAAAGGGCCACGGTTCCCCACCCTTGCATTAGAGGGAGAAACGTCTCCAGAGAACCCTGGAAAGGAATATAGGAGACGGGTGCAGATTATCTGGAGCTTGACAGAGCTGTGGATATAATCAAAGAACAGTGGAAAAAAGGAACAGAGAAAGGACCAATGGAAGTGGCTAAGAATATGTGGCAGGAGAAGATGGCAGGATGCAGAGATGGAGAAATGCTTGTGACTAAGAACATGAAGAGGCTTGTGATACCTTCGAGATGAGCTGGCTTGTTAGGTTTTATGGACTGCACAGCTTTGTCAGAGAAACAAAGGCAAGATTTCTGTTTTAATAGGCAGTAATGCTGGAGTTTTATCCTTCAAGAGCCACATTGTGACAGGGTCACAAACCAGCGAATAGTAGGGTTGGAGCCAAAGGGAGGAGGAAAGCAAGAATTTTTCCTTTTTTTATTGCCCCAGCCACCTCTGCCTTTTACTTTTGGAGGAGCATGTTTCTCTTGATCACACTCTGAGCCAAAGGCTTGCTGGGGGCTTTGAAATGAGGCCAGAGGATCGAGACCTCAGGTTGCCCATGGCCACAAAAGAACGAAATCCAGTGCCCTTCATCACGGCAAGCTCCAGAAGAGCAATGCTGCTCCTTCAAAGCTAGCATCTCCAATTTTATCTGTTTGCTTCTTGCTGCTACTGAAAGATTCTTCACTGTAGTGTTGTAAGACATTAACAGGCCTCCGCTGTGGAATTTTACACCACTAAATCTGCAGTCCCAGATACGGCTGCCAAGGCAGAAAGCTACCCAGCTCTGTGTGGCTTAATTCAGAGTATGAAATCTATCCAGCAATGCCCATTTCAAGCACATTTTGCAAAACTTTCCTTTCTTTGCTTCCAATTACCAACTTTCCCTCCCTCCCCACCCAGTGTGAATTTGTTAAACTGAGCTGTTTAATATTTATCTGAGATTGCGTTTCTTGTTGGACATTAATTATGCCTATTAATTACACCCCAGCTTGTTAGCTCTTAACGAAAAGGATTCAATGGGAGCCGGGCTGCCATGCCACAGCTGGTCCGATTTGCGTGGCCCCCTCCTTCCCACAGCTGTGGTTGTTCGTCAGGGGCTAATTACCAGGCGATAATCAGCCACGTCCTGGTTTATAAATACATCCAATACATGCTGGGTACCAACAAGGCTTCCGGTGGAGGGCCCTGTGGAGCTTCTAAATGTGACAAATGAGTCCAACAGCTTGCCCATCTCCTGTAACTTGGTATGCTCCAAAGGTACTGGAATTCAGTTCCCATGCTGGAAGGAAGGATGGGAATTGAAGTCTAAAGCATTTGAAGGAATCAGGTTTGGAAATACACCTGGTTTAGGTAATTTACACCTTAATAAACAAACATGGGAAGTGAGACCCCTTGCTTCCTTTTATTTTATTTTATTTATTTGATTTGTATACCGCCCTACTCCCGAAGGACTCAGGGCGGTGTAATTTGATTTATATGCCGCCCTTCTCCGAAGACTCAGGGCGGCTTACAGTGCGTTAAGCAATAGCCTTCATACTTTTGTATATTTATACAAAGTCAGCTTATTGCCCCCACAAACTGGGTCCTCATTTAACCTACCTTAGAAAGGATGGAAGGCTGAGTCAACCTTGAGCCTTGGAGAGATTCGAACCAGCAGTAAATTGCAGGCAGCTGTGTTAATAACAGGGTGCTTTAAACCACTGTAGTACCAAGGCTCTTCCATCCAGTTTGTCAGGGGTGCCATTTTTAATCTTTTATTGTAATTTCTTTGTTTATTGGGAGCCAACTAGTATCATTCCAATCAAGCTGCATACAAATTTAATACAGTTTTATTATTATATCTGTGTGATCTCTCTCTCTCTGCAAAATATAACCTCTATGTTTGAAATTAGAAGCACTTAACAACCACTTGTTCAATGGTCATTCTAACTTGCACTTGAATGAGTGGTACTTATGATCAGTCCTAGATATTTCAGCTCTTATAGCATCCCTGCATTGGTCACCTAGTTGCCACTTGAGACTCCTTTGTTAATTTCCTACAAGCAAAGTCAATGGGGAGGCTGGCAGGTCGTCACAAATAGCGACCATGTGACTTCTTCACTTAATGATGGCATGGAATTTGCTTAACAAAAGCAGGAGATGTTGAAATTGCCATTGCTAAGCAAAATGGCCATAAAATGACTGCATCGTTTAAGATGGTCACATTTGCTGTTGTCAGCTGAGGACTACCTGTATTGGCTACTGAGATGCCTTTTCATGAGATAGACAGGAGGGTATAATAACAAAACCATGTTGGATTTGTGGCAGATGTAGAGTTGGAGCTCTTCTGTTTTTCAGATAGCCATGACATCAGGGCTTCTTCTGATTCTCCAAAGGAAAGATTACTGAATTCAAGGCAGCACATGCTGGGTAGTACAAGGTATAATATGATGAACACATTTGCTTTCTATAGAGGAGGTCTGAAATTCAATATCATCAAGGTCTTTACAAATAGTTCTCCAATGATCATAGACTTCATAACTTTCTGGCATTTTAAAATGGGAAACAAAAATCTTTATAGGTCCCTGCCTTCTTGTCTTATTCAGGATAATTCTATCTTCTCTTTGACTGGCATTTCCTGAGCCACTCTTCAGAATACAGAGCAAGTTTTCCCTTTCCCGAGCTGGCCTGATCACAGTCAGGTACATCTTCTAAACACTATTTAAAATAACCCTTGCAAAGTCTGAATGGCTCAATCAAAGGAAGGTTATCTTGGAAGACAAGCTGCTTTGCAAGACAATTCACAGAGCTCAGATCTAAGACAATATAAGCAGACTAGGTAAAAAAAAAATCTTGGTTTCATCAGGAAATGTTAGATGGAAACGGACAGTGAAGAAAAACAAAGATGCAACCCTACTCTTAATCTTAAACTGTACCAATAGCATACCTTTCCCTGATGTTTAAGTTAGTCAAATATCAGAGCAATGGACTAGACAAGGAGTTTTCAATCACTAGAACATTCATTTCTACCTCAGTTTAAAAAATGACAGAATTCTCAATCCATTTAACCTGACGGAAGGTCAAGTTTCATTACCTGGTATCTTGTTTTATTTTAACAAAAGCAAAATAGTTTTAAGGATGAAGGAGAGGGGGGAAGCCCAAGAAATGAGGAACCATGTATGTAAATAAGTCTGGAGATTGAAGGCCAAGCAGATGAGTAGATCGCCTCTTTTTCCTCATGAACCCCATCAACCATCCCCTTCTTCTCACCTTCTGGTCACTCAGCCCAGACACCGTGTCAACGTACTCCTCCTGGATCATAAAGGCAGCCAGGTTGGCTGTGTAGCTGGCAAGGAAGATTACGGCAAAGAATGCCCAGATCAGCACCATGATCTTGCTGGTGGTACCTCTGGGGTTCTCCACAGGCACAGAATTATTAAACACCAATGCCCAAAGCAACCAGATTGATTTTCCAATGGTGAATTTGGAGCCTCCAGTGCCTAGAAAGCAGAGGGGGGAATGGGAGGAGAAAATAACTTTCAAAAACTAACCTGACCTGGGAAAGCTTAAAAACCAATCAGATGCACTGCTTGACTTCCAGGGGGAGCCCAAATTTCCACTCTCTCTCCCTCTCCCTGAAGCAGTGGTATACTCACGTTTGCTGTTGCTGAGGCTGCGGTTGTAGCCCACTGGGCTGAAATATTCGAAGATGAAGACGGTCACTGCAACAACCGTCAGGCACATGACAAACATCATCACCCAAACAGCAGGGCTGTAAGGCTCTGTGGAAAGAGAAATGGGGTGGATGCTCAACTGACATTTTTTTAAAAAATCCCCTTTCCTTCATGAATTAAGATCTCACCTCACCTCTTCATTTTCCAGCCTCCTAGTCAGATTACTGATACCAAATTAAAGATGGTAACCAAAAAAATTCAAGACACAGCTCATTAGTTAGAACAATTAATCGGTGGAACGACAGGTCTCCAGAAGTTGTGGATGCTCCAACACTGGATGTTTTTAAGAAGAAATGGAACAATCATTTGGTCTGAAATGGTACAGGGTTTCCTGCTTGACCACGGGGTTAGACTAGAAGACCTCCAAAGTCCCAACTTTTGTTATTCTGTTATTCAATCAATCAATCAGAATAGAACTGGAAGGGACCTTGGAGTCTTCTAGTCCAACCCCCTGCTGAAGCAGAAGACCCTATACCCGTGATAGCAAACCTATGGCACGCGTGCCACAGGTGACATGTGGAGCCATATCAGTGGGCACGTGAGCGTTGCCCTAGCTTATCTCCGGTGCGCATGCACACACTGGCCAGCTGATTTTTGGGCCTTCTGGGCTCACAGGAAGTCAGGAAACAGGCTGTTTCTGGCCTCTGGAGACTCTCCCCAGAAAGGTTCTGGAGCCTGGGGAGGGCGAAAAATGGGCCTACCGGGACCATCATGCCATCACATACCAAGTGGGGAGAATGCGGGGGGGTTGCGGGGTGCATTGAATTATGGGTGTGGGCACACATGCGTGCGACACCCCCCCCGCATATCCCGCTTTTGGCACGCGATGCCAAAAAGATTAGCCATTAGCCATTAGGACATTACTGTCCTATACCATTTCAGACAGGTGGCTGTCCAGTTTCTTCTTAAAAACCTCCAGTGATGAAGCACCCACAACTTCTGAAGGCAACCTTTTCCACTGGTTAATTGTCCTCACTGTTAGTTTCTCCTTAATTCCAGGTTGCTTCTTAATTCCTAGAACAAAGGAGGAATTTCCTGACAGTTAGAATAATTAATCAGTGGGACTGCTTGCCTCCAAAAGTTGTGGCTGCTCCAACACTGGAAGTTTTAAAGAAGATATTGGATAACCATTTGTCTGAAGTGGTGTAGGGTTTCCTGCCTAAGCAGGGGGTTGGACTAGAAGACCTCCAAGGTCCCTTCCAACTATTGTTCTGTTTTCTGTCTGTTTTTCTTGATTAGTTTCATCCACTGTTTCTTTTTCTTGCCTTCTGGTGCTTTCCCTGAGACTGACTAAGTCCTTGTTCTGAAATCAGTGAATGTTACCATGCGGGAAGAGTGACCTGTAACCTCTTTGTCCAACACCACACCACCCCATCTCCCTCCCTCAATGTTTTTTCCTTTGCTCAAATTTCATCCTGAGCATTCACCTAGGAAGGCAGAAGGTGAAACAGTTCCATTGCTGCGGGACACCATGACACTGATGCCTGTCTCAACGAAGGGCACAGAGAAATCTATGACTTCAGCTCTTTCTGCATTGATGGTCAGGGATCCAATTGCCATGTCAGCTCGCTTGTAAAACACCTGATAGGGAAACAGACAGGATGAGAGAGTGGGTTTGTTTTTCTGAGGCAGGAGACAAATAAACATCCTGAGATTTGTGAGCCAGATGAAAAGATTAATGCTGTCTAAGGCATAATATGTTAAGAAGCAAGAATATATAGTTTTAAGGGGCAGGGGCAGCTTTCCCATAAGCTGTAGTGAAGATTAGATGAGCAATCACTGTCAATGGACTGTTAAGACAGTCCCTTTCTTCCATACAGTTCCAGAAAGCTCTATAAGTAGTCCTTGACTTATGACCCCCAATTGCGATCCGAATTTCTGTTGCTATGCAAATTGGTTAAATGAGTCACACCCAATTTTACAATCTTTTTTGCCATGCTTGTAAAGCAAACCACTGCAATTGTAATTCATAAGTGAATGATGCGGTTGTTAAGCAAATTCAGCATCCACCACTGAATTTGTTTGCTGAAAGCTGGCTGAGGAGGTTGCAAATGGTGATCATGTGACCTCAGGATGTTGCAACCATAGTAAATATATGCCAGTTGCCAAACGCCCCAATTTTAATCATGTGACCGTGGGAATGTTGTGATTGTTGTAAGTGTAAATAGGAATATTAGTCAGCTTTTCCAGTGCCATTTTAACTTTGAATGGATGCTAAACGAATGGTTGTAAGTGGATGGCTATCATATAGAAGGACTTAAGAGTCAAGAGGAACTGGAATTGCTAGTGTGAAGGAGGAGTTGAGAACAGGAATTGAACAGGAATCCATTTCTAAGATTTTGTGTGGAAATCGAAGCCCCTAGTCTCCAATTACCTCTCCAATCATGCCGTTCCACATGCCATTTACTTTTTTCCCATGTTTGCCATTGGTGACAAGATAGAGGTCATAGGTGAATCCCAGAGTTTTCGCCAAACGCTTCAAGATGTCGATGCAAAACCCTTTACAACATCTCTTCTTTAACTGATTGCTGTGAACAGTGCAAGGAAAGTGAAAAAGGAACTCAACAAGTAATTTAGGAACATCACAGAAAGTAAATAAGAACCAGTGCAGCATTGTGGTTGGTGTGGAACTCAATTCCTCAGCCAGTCATAAATTTCATTGGCTGGGACTTTGGGGAAGCCACCTGAGTAACTTTGGGCCAATCACCAGGATACTGTGAGTTCTAATCCTGTCTTAGCATGACTTTGGGCCAGTCACTTTCTATCAGCCCAATCCACCTCGCAGGGTTGTTGTTGTTGTGAGGAATAGAGGAAGAGGGAGAAGTATTAGTATGTTCACTGCCTAGAATTATTTATAAAAATAGTAAAGTGGGATATAAATAAATAAAAATGATAAAAACATGGAGCTAGAAAAGAAAATAACATGTACCACTCCAGGTTTCTTAGGAAAAAGGTGGAATCTAACTGGAATGATGTACATAAGCCCCATGAGGTGCTCTGATATTTTTCAGGAAGAACAGGATTAAAGTCTAAGAATAATTTGCCATACTTGTGAGCACCCTTTTCAAGCATATTGAAAATACCTGTCAGTGTGGTTGAGAGGATGATGGCAGGGCACCGAGTCACGGATACAAGTCTTGGTGGCAGGATCAATGTCATCCACAATTACAAAGGGCCTTTCCTCCAAAGTTGCCACCATCAAGTGCTTGTTGTCATCCACGGGTTGCAGGAACTTCCTATAGCGTGACATACTCAGGATTCGTCGCTCCCACCTTCCCACCTGCCTCCCAAGGCGAAGAGAAGAGATTAGATACATCCCCAATCTTCATAGTCCTGCCAAACCCCCTAAGGCCATGATGGCGGACCTATGGTACATGTGCCACAGGCATGCAGAGCCATATCTGTGGGCACACGAGCATTGCCCAACTCAGCTCCAGCGTGCATGCGCATGCCAGCCAGCTGATTTTCGGTCTTCCAGGCCCACCAGAAGTCGGGAAACGGGCTGTTTCTGGCCTCCAGAGGGCCTCCAGGGGAGGAGGAAGGCAGTTTTTGCCCTCCCCAGGCTCCTAGAAAGCCTCTGGAGCCTGGGGAGGGCAAAAAACAAGCCTACTGGGCCCACTGGGCCATCACGTGCCAAAAGTGGGGAAAGCACAGTGGAGTCGCATGCGCGAGAGGGCGGGGCGCATTGAATTATGGGTGTGGGCATGCAAGTGCGCAACACCCCCCCCTCCGTCCTCCCCGTTTTTGACACGTGACGGCAAAAAGCCACCACTGCCCTAAGGCGATGCCAAATTCATTCAACATACAAGAATTGTTTCAATCCATCAAAACAAGACAGGCCTTTTCCTTTCGAAAAAGAGCTCCGAAATTCAGCTTCTTATATTACATTTTGAATTTTCCCATCAACCCCTTTCCCTTAAAATCACACTCATCCTTCAACGAATGTCCTTTGGGAACAAGACAGAGGTAAAAATATTGGATAGACAAGAAACGTCTTCTGGCATCATTCAGTGATTTAGCTTGGCTCAGTGTCCAGCCTCAGCAATTTCCAAAGCTGGAGTCAGGACTGTATACATTAGCCCATACATTTTTCTATTGGCCAGAAGCCACATAGTGATTATAAAATCTGATTTGATTTAGCTTGTTTATGTAATTAAAAGTTCTTTGGTCTCTTTTATCTGTAGGGAACTCAGATGTGACAGGGAGAGAATGGAGACCGGAAAGCTCTCTCTCTGCTTCTAGTCGTCAGAAGCTTCCAGAAATCTGCCCCAACTCCAAATTCACATGTATCATGTTTTCCGCAGTCACCTTCACTCCATATTACTTCTTTTCTAAACCTGCCTGCCCTCCAGCTATCTTTCTCGTCAACCTACAGCTCATTCCTCCCTTTCCCCCACCCCGCTTAAACTCACCTCTTCCCAAGTCCGATGTTTGCTAAGTGAGATTACAGCCAAAGACGGATTGATCAGGTAGCCGTCTTCATTAAAGGAGAAGTCCTTGTCACCCCACGTGACATTCATGAAATAACTGTGTGAAAAGACAGAAGAGAAGCTCTTTGGACAACCCCAATCTGTTTTTAACCCCTACCTATTCTCCTGTCCCCAAGCCTGACCCCAAAAACTTTTATCCAATGTCTGAGAAAGAATATTTGGGAAGATGTGGACTAGGCTTCTAAAAGAAACCAAGAAACAAAAAAAGCCAATTTTGAGTCGAGATGGATGACACGTGGGAGGAATTCGGTTTGCGAATACAAGGTGGAACAGGTAAAGTTGCAGAGTAAAAAGAAACAGATCTATTCACTGACCTCTGCAGAAAAGCTAATTTTTGCCCCCCTTCAACTAAATCTTAGCAACTTTTCCCACTAATAAAGTAGGATATTCTCTACCCACTTTAGAAACAATGAGATAGAATATCAGTATTCAACTTGCTGTGCCCATTGCTAATCCCTCTCACGCCTTCCTTCCATCTGTTCCACCTAGTGGTCAAATGGTTTTGTCTTGATTTTGTGAATGTGCCACTCATTATAGACCACATGAGTCGTCTTCTTGTCCAGGTTTTGCATCTATTATCCCCTTTCTATTCCCTTATTATTGGCCAATGGAAAAACATGAACTGTCATGGGTCTGGCTTCAAGATTCTCCCTGTTTTTTCTCCAGTGGTGCATTTCTTCTGCATTTGAATATCTTCAAGTAAAAATAATATGAAATAAAGAAAGTCCAGAGGAGCAAATCAGACCAAAGAAGAAGGAAGTTGGTCCTGACCTTATCCTGTACCCTAGCTTAAATTAGAATGGCAGTAATCAAGCAATGCTTGTAATCAAGCAACCAAAGCCACTTTGGCATCCCTTATTCTGGGGACTACAAGGAGGAATATCAGAGCAGGGATGGGCTGCTGCGAGTTCGCAGGGGTTCGGGAGAACCTCTAGCTAAGATTCTGTGCAGTTCGGAGAACCCCCAAAACCCTCTCCTGGCTGGCCCCACCCCATCCACCCCACCCCTTCCAGGAGTCCTCATGCGACCCATTTTGGATGCAGGTAAGTGCAGGGCACGCTCAGAGACTCGGGGAGGGTGAAAAACGGGCCTACTAGAAGTTCAGGAAGGCCAGAAACGGGCCTGTTTCTAGCCTCCAGAGGGCCTCCAGAGCTTGAGGAGGCCATTTTCGCTCTCCCGGAGGCTTGAGGAAAGCCTCTGGAGGCCGGGGAGGGCAAAAATGCCCCCCCCACCATGGTGCAGGAAGCCGACTAGGCCACGCTCACTATGGCCACGCCCACCCAGCAACCAGGCAGAGAACCCCTTGCTAAAATTTTTGAAGCCCACCCCTGTATCAGAGTGCTGGTTCTGAAAGTAAAACTATAGTTTGGAATACCATAATAGAAGCAGTATTGCAGTGCCAAGAAGAAAGCATAGTATGATTATGCTCAAAGACGTAACAGAGGAACAGAGTTAGACTCCAGGTGATTAGATACAACTGTGGTCCATTTTAAGTTTATGCCATATTGTAAATGTATGCATGATGCAAGACTTCTTATTGCTTGGGATGATCCTTCTCCAATTGTCTTGGATACTACACAATCTTATGCCAGCTAGGAAAGGCAAAAGCTGTATCCAACACATCTGGGAGGCATCAGATTTTGGAATTAAATGGGTGGAATGATGTGCAAATCAAGAAAAGAATGGAAGTGGAGAAAAAGGCACAGGGTGGGAACAGGTCAGAGTTGTTCGTGGATGGGAACAACTTGATTGCACCACCCTCCCACCTAAAACGCCCTCCCCAGCCTCTTTCCCTGCTAACCGATGTAGATTCTCGTTGAATTGGGTGAGATTGGGTGCCCGGCAATCACTGTTGAATTTTGGAATTGAGCCGTAGACTTGGAAGAGGGCCTCAGCGCCTTTGGCAATTATGGCCACCCCGTTTTGTACTCTGTGGTAAAGATCATCTTTCCATCCTGCTGAAAGCACCATGAAGAGTCCCTCAGGCAGTTCCTCAGGCAGGTAGGCAGTTCTACCAAAGTTGGCGCCTGCCATGAACCAAATATACCCAGGACCAGTAAGTTTGACTTCACGAGCGGCACGGAAGATGCTTTCTGCTTCATCACGGGAACAATAGAGAAGGCAAATACGGGCATTTATTTCTCGGAGCTGGCGTTTCAGGCGGGCTCCATCTGGGTCATCAGTGAGGTTAAGGGTCACAGTGCTGCGGCGCTCCCAACCAATGAAGCTGCTATCGGTCAGGACCTCAATGTAATCTACAAAATCTTCATAGCCAGGAAACAGGGTAGTAATGACGGCAAATGCTGTCCAGTCATATTGTTCCAGGACCTCAAACATCACCTGCAATTGTTGTTTGGTTGAGGAACCAAGCTGCAGGAATGTTGATCCTTTCTCCTGGATTTTAGAAAGAACAAAAGTGATCAGGCTGAAAAGCAGAAATGGTTTTATATATTTATTTATTTGTAAAATGTATTGGCTGCCCACTTTATCACAGGGCAACTCTGGGCAGCTTACAATCTTAAAATGAGTTTTCCACTCATTTCCCACCCAGATTCAAATGAAGCATACAACTTTCCAAATATTTTCAATTTAATTTAATTTAATTTAATATTTAAATTTATATACCACCTTCTCCCGAAGGACTCAGGGCGATGAACAGTCAGAAGTAAAAACATCAAATACAAAATTTAAAAACAATTTAAAAATAAATTAAACATTTTGGCCTGACAGTTAAAATCCCCCATTAAAAATCCAAATTAAAATACACAATTGGAGAGATTAGGCCAGCCCGACTTGATGAGGAGATAACAGTTCCAGTTTTAAGTTCTGCTTTCAACCCAGCCCTTCCCAGCAACTGATCTTTCACAAAAATAATTCCCAAGTCTTTATGAACAGAATTAGACCATCTTATTAGATCTACTAACTCCTACATGAAGCTGAAAATGAAGATGTAATATAATTCTATTATACCTTGGTAATATTGATTTTTTTTCAGTTCTGCTATTATTTCTAATCTCTGCCATGTCCCCTCCCTCATGTATACACATTTCTGTACACCTAACAGTTAAATTATCAACTAAGGGCCCTTTTTCCTAATTGTTCACCTAATGAATAAGCAGATTTCTGTTAAGTGACCGAGCTTCCATGTATATTCAGGTAGCAAAATAAGCCCAGGAAGTTGTTACCTTGGGAGTAAGAACAATGGCTGATCCTCCATTGATGCCAATGATTGGAACTGAGGTCTGTGCTGAGATGAAGTCCAGGATCTGGGCGACGTCCTCCGTTCGTATATCATCTTCAAAAACAACTCCATGGATATGCAAGGAGGAGAGGACATCACAGAGCCGTACAATTAGGCTACGAGGATTGGTGTCGTTCAGAACGACAGGGATGGGGTTGATCTCCATGGAGAAATTGCGAAAATCCTCAGGTGAGAACCGGGCACTTTCTGGTGTGTAGGTTGAGCCACTGAAAATAATGGGAATGTTGATGGTTCGTCGCCGTAGGTCCAGGAAAGGGCTGGCGCAGGCCAGAGCCATAACAAAGAGCATCCTAGCAGCGGGGGTGCCCGGGGGCAGGCTCATCTCGCAGGACCTCTATGTTCCCCCTGTAGTAGGTTGGAAGAAGAAAGAGACTAGGGAATGAGAAGCAAAACATCAAAGAGGACAGGAGGCCAACTGTGACCTCAGAACTCAAATGGAAAGAATTTGGCTTGGCAACCAGAATGGTGTTTGGGCTAGTCTACCTTTTCTCTCCCAAGGCATCCCTTGATGGTGTCCAGTTTCTTTGTATCAGAGGTGAGGAACCATGGCCCCTTTATGACTTGTGGACTTCAACTCCCAGAATTCCTGAGCCAGCATGGCTGATTCAGGAATTCTGGGAGTTGAAGTCCACAAGTCATAAAAGGGCCATCATTCTCCACCCCTGCTTTATATCATTCTTGTCCCTTGCTAAACGGACCAGCTCAGGGTTGGGAAGATAAAAAGAGAATCCATTGAACATATGAAATGAAGTAATTCTTCCTCCCAAACTTCACATTTCCCAATTTTTCTTCCCTGAAGGTTAGTCCTTCTAAACCCCGGTCCTGTAGATATACAGGTAGTCCTCGACTTAAGGCCACAATTGAGCCCAACATTTCTGTTTCTAAACAAAACAGTTGTTGAGTGAACTTTCCCCACTTTACAACCTTTCTTGCCACAGTTGTTAAGTGAATCACTGCAGTTGTTAAGTTAGTAACATGGTTGTTAAGTGAATCTGGCTTTCCCATTGACTTTGCTTGTCAGAAGGTCACAAAAGTGAATCACATTATTCCGGGTCACTGCACCCATCATAAATACATGCCAATTGCCAAGCATCCAAATTTTGATTAAATGACCATGGGGATACTGCAGTGGTCATGTGTAAAACAGTTGTAAGTGCCATTGTAACTATGAACAATCATTAAACGAATGGTTGTAAGTTGAGGACCACCTGTATATGATTGCAATCCCATTATTTCCAACTAAAACTGAGCAGTTCACCCAAATCTATTGAACCTAATTCAGAGCCTGAATGTCAGTTGTCAGTCTTTTGCTACATTTATACTACTAAGCAGTGGATAAGATTAGGCCAATTAAAGAAAATCAAGCTAACCGTAACATGGACTGAGTATAGATCAATGGAGTTGATTAAAATGAGATAGGACTGATAACCACTTAACTCTGGTTAAGTACATGTAGTTCTTGACTTATCACCATAATTGGGACCAGAATTTCCATTGCTATGCAAGATGGAAGTTAAGTGAGTCACGCCCAATTTTATGAACTTTTCTTTACCATGGTTATTAACTGAATCGTGTGGCTGCTAAGTGAATCTGGTTTCCTCCATTGTCTTTGCTTGGGAAGGTTGCAAATAGCTATAACATGTCCCTGGAATGCTGCAACCATTGTGAATATAGGCATCCAAATTTTGATCACATAGGGATGCTGTGATGGTTATCACAGTGTGAGACCATTAGGCTCTCTTTTTTCAGTCCCATTGTAACCTTGAACATTCGCTAAACAAATGGTTGTTAAGTCGAGGACTACCTGTATATAATATAATCTCTTTCACTGCATAAAAATGGATGCTCAGACATTATGAAATGCTACTTCAGAATCAGAGGGCCAAACGCCACAAACAAGAGCCACATCTCTGAATTTCAAACATACTCTGAATTTCAACATTGTGTTCCTACTATTGTTCCTACCCAACACTCAACCAAATTTGATCATGGATCTCATCTGGCTGATGTTGGGTCACTCGGTTTTAACCTGACCTACTTCACAAGGTGGTTATGGCGGTGGGGTGGGGGAAATGAGAGGGGACTCTACTTTTTGTCCTCCAGAGAAAAGTTTTTTAAATATATGAGACAAGAAGCATTCAAAGATGAAGTTCCCATTTATTTGGCAACACAATCCAGGAAAATTTGCAGTGTATAATCCTGCTGTTCATAAAGTTTATCTCTAATATATAAACTATGCAGAAATCATTTCTAACCATTGTGGTATTTTTTTTATGATACTTTACCATCCAAATTCTTAAATTACTAGTGGGAGCTACTGATTTACTAAGAAATGAGGCAGGAAGATTTTGTTGCATGTATCTATGTGTGTACAATACACACACACACACACACACAGAGACATATGTGTCAACCAATCCTTAAACTCCCTGATGTCCTAAGACAGGAGTGAGAATTTACCCTTTTGTTGCAAATTTACCCTACAAATTGCAAGTGCCTAACTGAGATTGTTTTCCTCCTAGCTAAGGGGAAAAAGGTCACCAGAATCCTGCAAATTAGAGGCACAGGTTAAACACACACATACCCTTAATCCCTTGAGTTATCTATAGATACTCAATCCTTACCATCCAGGTGCTACACAGCCAAGAGAGTCCCTTGGTATGTTAGAGTAGTGGCAGCTGGGCAGTTTTAAAGCTATAATTAACCACCTGTCTCTGTCTCTGTGTGTACCTCAAAAGCCTCTTCTTCACAAGAGAAATTCTTATCACAAGGTAAAACATTACAGAGGATCTTATGTTGCCTTTACTAATTTTTATTACCACTTTCACTCTGAAACAGACTATCTGCGATAGTTGCGAGTGCGATTCAAGGTGTTGGTCACCACCTTTAAAGCGCTCCATGGCTTAGGACCGGGGTATATACGAGACCGCCTGCTGCCAGCAACAGCCTCCCACTGGCCAATACGCTTCCACAGAGAGGGGCTCCTCAGGGTGCGGTCGGCCAGATAATGCCAACTGGTGACACCCAGGGGGAGAGCCTTCTCTGGGAGGGCACCAGCCCTCTGGAATGAGCTGCCCCTTGAGATTCATCTCATCCCTGACCTGTGTACCTTTCGCCACCCCTGGAAGACCCTCTTGTTCCAACAAGCCGGCCTGGCTTAATACGAATTTTAGAATGGGTGTATGTGTGTTTTAATCTATGGACCAAATTTTTATATATTCAATTTTAAATTGTTTTAAATTTTGTATATTTATATGTGTTTTAATATGGCTGTACACCGCCCTGAGTCCTTTGGGAGAAGGGCGGTATAGAAATCTAATAAACATAACATAACATAACATCTATGTGGCCATTTAACCACATAGCTCGTCACAAAGAATCGTTCTGACATATCAGTAACCTTAAGCTGTTGCTTATTTCCTTTCCTCCTGACATTTCACCCACATTCATCAAAAGTAAATTAGATTGTACACAGGACACAAACACATACCACAAAGGCACCCCCCCACTCCAGACAGGCATCCAGTAAAAACTGAATAAATTTTCTCTGTGTGTGAGAGAGGGAGGGAGGGAGGGAAGGAGAGAAAGAGAATTTTAACAGAATGGTTTAACTTGTAGTTACTCTGAATCTTTAATTTGCCTCAAAGCAATCTGCCAAAGCCAATTGATCATTAGCACAACCACTTTATAGACATTGGAGAAGCAACTTCCAAGTCTGCTTCATAAATTACATGAAGTATTTTTAGGATGCTCCTAAGAATACAAAAATCTCCAAAAACAACTCTCAAAATAAAACAGTAGTTTATTTCTTTCCCCCCCAAATGAAGAAAAAAAAATCAGCATTGGGGAAAACATGCATCCTGTTGCGTGTGAGTTTATTAGAGTTTATTAGAACCTGCGATTTTTTTTCTTGCGATGTTTTATATTCCTTTAATGATGAAACCAGTCATTTAATATACAGTTATCCTCGACGTACGGCAGTTCATTTTGTGACCATTATGACCATTTTTTACATTTACAACTGTTGGATGGTCATACGATCAGAATTGCGATGCTTGACAATTGATTTATATTTATAACTGTTGCAATATCACTGGGTCATGTGATCCCCTTTTGTGGCCTTCTGACAAGCAAAATCAATGGGAAAGTCAGATTCACTTAACAACCATGTTACTAACTTAACAACTGCAGTAATTCGCTTAACAACTGTGGGAAGAAATGTCTCATTCAGCAACAGAAGATTTGGGCTCAATTGTGGTTGTAGTCAAGGACTACCTGTATTTGTGGATTATTCAGATATCTGGAATCTTCTAACCACAACTAATATAAAATATGTTTCAGAAAGAGTTTTTTCAAATGATCATGAAGGTAAAATACAGAACTTTTGCTTATTATATTATAAACAAAAACAAAATTGCCTGACAATTAAAACAATTAATCAATGGAACAACTTGCCTCCAGAAGTTGTAAATGCTCCAACACTGGAAATTTAAAGAAGAGATTAGATAACCATTTGTCTGAAGTGGTGTAGGGTTTCCTGCCAAAGCAAGGGGTTGGACTAGAAGACCTCCAAGGTCCCTTCCAATTCTGTTATTCTATTCTATTCTATTCTATTCTATTCTATTCTATTCTATTCTATTCTATTCTATTCTATTCTGCATAACAGTATCTTTTTTTATCCTGTTTTGGAAACAAATCCATTGCTACATAGATGAATCTGCATTCACAAAATCTACGTTTCAACTCTATTTTGATAATAATTAGAGCAACATATTATATATATGTATATGTATATATCTACATGTGTATGTGTATATATGTGTGTGTGTGTGTATATATATATGTATGTTTGTATATGTGTATGTTTGTGTGTATACACACATTATATATATATCTGTAGGTCTTTGGTTATTCGGGTTTTCTCCCGCGTAAAAATTTCGACTTCGTCAAAACGTCGCCAAGACATTTCCAACTTTACGTGGGAGAAAACCCGAATAACCAGACCTACATACAAACACCCGCGAAAACCTCAGAAAACAAATATATATATATATATATATATATATATATATATATAAATTTTGGGGTGTTTTTTCTCTAAGGAGGTGAATGATCAAGAGTATCTATCTGTCTTCCTGATCATTCACCTCCTTAGGGAAAAAAAAACAAAAAGAAAGAATATGATTTAATGATATGATGCTTTATTCTTTCTTTTTGTTTTTTTTTTCCCCTAAGGAGGTGAATGATCAAGACTGCCCATCATTTCCACATGAAATATCTGATAAAAGAAGAAGGTATCTCATCTCATGAGCAAAAATTATTTTGGCTCCCTTGTCCATAAAGTT